TGCAAAATATGCAAAAATAAATTTATATATTTCTTGTAAAGCATATTACTGTATTTTATAAATTAAAACTCGAATACTCAGATATAACTTTTTTTTAATAGTAATTTTTAAAATGCATCAACTTATATACAGAAGGTTTTTCAAAAAAATGTTTAGAAAATTTTGAGAACTAATATCTCTTGTATAAAAAGTTATAGTGATTTAAAAAATTAAATCTTGTCAAATATAGGCTTGTATTTATTTGAGTTTTTTATTTTGTATATATACGTAGACTGCTTAAAAGAAAATTATTTAAAATGCCGTGATTGATTATTGGTTCTATATAGAGTTTGGAACCGTTGTATTTTAATATGCTAAAACTGATTAAATAGTTTTAACTTATGACAATAAACCGGTTTCAAACCCTAGTTTTTTTATCCTATCCGAGCAATTTCATTGGCCAAACAATCTAGCACATAATATTATACGAATTATTATGCGAAATAGTCTAAATTATGCAACATTATGCGACGCATAATGCATATGCAGTATAGGTCAAATATTAGCTGCTCGATACGAAAGTATTGGAGCAGCATTTTGTCTCGAATCGGACATGGAGTATGAATTAATTGATCATATGATTATTGTTAGTCTGATTTATTGTGATTTTAGTTACGTATTTGTAGGTAATTTGCTTGATCAATTGGTAATCGTTAGAGCTAATCGATTGTGATTTTAGTTACGTATTTGTGGGTAATTTGCTTGATCAATTAGTAATCGTTAGAGCTAATCGATTTGGTTACATAATTTGCGTAGTATGTTTAATCTGGTGATCGTATAGTTAGCTGTGGTAACGTAATTACGTTGTTATGGTTTTTTAGAGTAACGATGTAATTATATAGTTTTTGATTTGTAAGCGTTAAAGCATATTTAAAGGGAACGTGTTTTTTTCCCAGACAAGAAAATTTCTGTTTTTTCTGCTAACCTGACTTTGTCGGGTTTTTTCGTGTCATTACTATTACCTTTACCTTTGTTGAGTTCAAACTGAAAATTTCTTGAGTCTTTACATACTAAGCTTATTTCGTTGCTCATTTTTCTAAATATAACCATTTTATATAAATACAGTCAACTCTTTCTAATCCGAACCTCTTTAATCTGAACACTATTAAATTCTCTCTAATCTGAACAAAAAACTTTAGAACATTTGTAAATTTTATTATAGAGTTTGGATTAGCTAATAATAACTTTTTGAGAACCAAACTTTTTAACCAATTTCATATATAAGAATAGACAGGTCGGAATAGACAGAGTTGACTGTAAATAAGTAATAATATATATAAAACTTTTGTTTTATGACAAGTTATCATTTTCGGATACATCGCTTGTATATGTTACTACTTAATAAGCTGGCTTGTGCCATAGATTTCCTGATACGTAAATCTCAATGTTAACTGTAAATAAGAAGACAGAGCCTGTTACTATGTTAAACAAGTCTTTACCTCTAGATATAGTTCAAATGAGCTTGGAGTCTAACCTAAACTGTCTATTGGTAGAAACGTTAAGATTTGTTTGTCGTAGAATGGGTTTGTCGAAAACAGGCCTTAAGCAAGAAATTGTATTTAGATTATTGAAGGAAGGTCGAAACCGAACTAGTATAGAGGAGTCTATGGAACATGTTGGTGTAACTAAGAAAGGGAACAAAGTGCATTTGCAATTTGTTGAAGGACAGGATGATTCATTATTGGAGCTAGAAGGTTTATAGTGGACAGGTGATAGGATGCAATGTTCACCTGTTGGAGAAAACATGATGAACACTTATAGCAAACAAAGCATAACTACACAGAGTTTTCTACCAAATTATGTTTAGAAAAGAAAGCCTTTTACTGTTGGATTGGAAGTGAGACCACAGATCTTAGAGAATGTAGAACATAAAAGTGTATAGACAAAGCATAAGTTATTCAAGCAATATAATATAATGAATGGTATAAAGTAGAAGCATTAATGAATAAAGCATTAGCTTTAAGAGAGTTGGGCTATGTTCATTTAGCAAGGCAGGTTACATTGGAAAGAGCCTATGTCGTGAGAGTAGCTGATGATGATGGTTAGGAGGTTGCCTCTAAAATGACAGTAGCAAATAGTTCAGATCTAATGTCTGAGTTGTTAAAGAGCAAACGAGAGAGTGTCTGGTTGGCAGCATAACAATTTACGAGGACCAAGAGGCTGAAGGTATCACATTTTTCATGTTTGAGCAACCTCAGCCTTCAGCACCAGTGTTTCAAGTAGGCAGTTTCCCTCAGCACAAATTATACAAGTGCAACCTTATGCTCAACTGACAGGAGCACAGTTTACACAAATGTTCAACCAACAGGCTTTTAGCCACAGCCTTTAGATCAGTATTTGGGTTTGCAAAACTAGTTTAGGAGCTTCATGTCAGTTTTTCCATTGGCCTTTTATTCAAATCCACAATTTGCACAAATAGGAGGACAGCACACAGGTCGAAATCAAAAATATCATCATCATATCATCTAATATCGCCTATGGTGATAGCAGGCCGATAGGCTGTTGGTTATAAACCGATTAATTAGATATAAAAAAAGCCAATAGGCTGAAGATTTTAGTAAAATATGTTATATATCGGTTTAATGCCAGATAAAAATA